ATTGAGGTCCGAAATTATGGTTCTTCAGTCCCAAATTAGGGTTCTTGAGTCATAAATTAGGGTTCTTGAGTGCTAAATTAGGGTTCTTGAGTGTCAAATTTGGGTTATTGAAATTAGGGTTCTTCATTCAAATTGTTATATTTTTTCTTTTCTTCTTCTTAGAGAGGTGGTTGCCAATTTTTTAATTGGGAGGATCCTCTAATTTGTCGTCGCTCGAGGGCTATAATTCCAGAACTACTACGTAGGGTGAATGCCATGGAAGCTGAAAATGAAAAATTGAAGCAGAACATTGCAATGATGAAGAAAATCTGCATTTATATGGCATTATCTTTTGTTATTTTCCAGGTCCTTCACTGTTGCTTCAGTTGAAGAAATTTCATGTAATGGAATTGGCCACTTTGTCTTGTTCCTTATTTTGTTATGAAGTTTTGTTAAGTATGATGATGACAGTGTTTCTTAGGATTCAGAACTTGTGTTGATAATGGCAGTGTTGATGAAACAATGATGACGGCAATGTTGATGGAACAAAATTTTCTCACTGTTTGTATTGATTTATGGGATCTTTGGACTTGTGTTTGTTTTTGTCTCTGTTTTTGTTCTATTGATTTAGAACTATGATTTGTCTCTATTTTGTTTTCAAAATGTTACAATATAACACCACATTGAAACCAACACTAAAGACAAACAAACCAACACTAACAAATGAAAACAAATAACAGATTGGACATTTGAAACAAGATTAACTTCAAAAATAGACATAATGAACACAGTTTACTATATATAATACACAAAAAACTTCACATTACTACACAATCAAATGAATGTACCAAAACATAGCTTCACAAGAGTACACAATCTCAGATTTTCCATAGCATCCAAGACATAGCTTCCAAAACGGAATTTCTAAGAGTTCATGCCCATCAGAAATTACAAAACAAGAAAATGTACAATAAAGTACTACACAAAAATGAGGCACAATACACAAATCAATTCACCAACTGTTTAAACTTCTTAAATTTCAGACAAATGCTTAAACTTCTTCTGGAAAGAGTCATCAACTGGTGGTCCTCTTGTTCTTCCCCTTTGAAGTTAATCCCATATTAAGGGTCCTTCAATGTGTGTTGTTGTTGCTAATTTGGACTGAGACATTTGTGTTAGAATGGGGACATCAATCTTTTCAGGTTCTTGATGTTCTTCAAAAACTGGGGGTAGCAATGTAGGATGATTTTTCTGTTTCTTTGTGATGTGCACTGAGCTTGAGCCTCCACCGTCATCCTGTATGAGGTTGAAAATATTAGGACAAAAATAATGAAAAATAAAAAGTAATATGAAATCAGAATAGTACCCTAGACATGTTTGAACCTCCCCTATCATCCTGAGGTGCTTGAACAATATGTGATCCCATCACAGCTTCTTCATTGGAGGCCCTCCTATGACATGTTTTGCTATTATGTCCCAAACCACCACAGTTCTTGCACTTAACTGTGTTTTGTTGCCTTCTAAGTCTCTGCGACCTTGTATCTTGTTTTTTCTTCTTACAAGGCCTCTCATCAGATTGAAGTCTTCTTGACTTACCTGGTCTTCCCACACATTTACCAAAATTTGGAGCCAATGGTGGAATATATAAGCTCTCATCCCACAACACCTCACCATTAATTCCCCTTATAGCTGGTTTATACACTTTGTGATATGTAGCAACAAAATAGCGGGTAGCTACATGATCAAATGGGTCCATTTTGGACATATACATTGCACTACTTGCATGGGGGCAAGGTATTCCAGTCAAACCCCATTTTCTGCAAGTGCAAGTCCCCAAATCAAGATTCACATTAAATTGCCCCCTATTGAAACAAGACACCTCCCAGTTTGCATGATCACACTTCAAAGGAATGCAGCCACCCACCTGTTCAACATGATGAGAAAGAATCTCTCTAATTTTTGGACACAACCCATCCTTCCAAAGTTTGGCAGCCTTATCCCTATTTTTTTGAAGTCTGCTGATAAGATATTGCCTAATCCACTCCAACATTTTCAACATTGGTTTGTCCCTAGCCTCTAATATGTTTCCATTAAATGTCTCATAGACATTATTCAACACCATGTCACATTTGGGGCCTTCAGTGAAATGTGACTTAGCTCCACTCTGATGGTGGTTTGTCATTGAGCCATTCTGCTGGCTCTTTACTCAGCTCCCTCATCTCATCAAGATATTGGTTGAATTCACCAACAATAGTTGCTAATGTACATTTCCAAAGAGCCTTCTTATAATCTAAACCTCTAAAACCAGCATTCTGAAAGTTATGGAGATGCCTCACACAAAATCTATGGTGGCAATCAGAAAGAATAGAACTGAAGGCTTAGATTAAACCTTTCTGCTTATCTGAAATAAAGGTCCAATCTTGTTGGTTTATTATTTCACGGTCATTCTTTAATAGAATAAAAAACCACTCCCAAGTTTCCCCATTTTCTGAAGATACAATGGCATATGCAAGAGGGTAGTGATTATTGTTTGGATCAACCCCAACAACTGTGAGTAAAATGCCTTTGTGAGGCACTTTTAGAAAACAACCATCAACTCCTATGATTTGCCTGCAACCTGCTTTAAAGCCCTTCTTAAGTGCACTGAAGAAAACATAGAACGTATCAAACCTCTTCTCACAATTTTCAGTATCAACAGTCCCCAAAATAACAGTAGAACCAGGATTTGATCTAATAAGTTCTTTTCTGTAATCCCAAAGTTTAGTTAACTGGTAGTCAGGGCACCCTTCCACAATCTTCAGAGCCTTTCTTCTGGCCCTATAAGCTTGAAACTTAGAAACATGGCAGCCCAGCTTGTGAATTACCTCCCTCCTCCATGGCTTCACTTTTCTGTTTGGATCAGTCTTGAAATCATCAAGATATCTATCTGTCAGCCAAGGTGCTTTCACATTTTTGACATCAAATGTAGGAGGACAATTGTGCTCATCAACAAATTTGTGGATCCTGTATGAGGTTGAGTCCTTCACCTGAATCAGATTAATCATCCAAGGGCAATCATCATCACCACATTTCACATAAAATCTGTACTTGTCATTCTTAGTGAACTTCAAACTTCTTCTCTGTTTAATAACATAAGAATCAACTGCCTTTTTGAACTCAGCTCTGCTACTAAACAACATCCCAAGTTTGAAGGTGGGATCATAAATTTGAGCTACATTGAATACAAGGGCTGGAAGAGGTGATTCACCATTTGCTTCATCATCAGATAACCTGTTCTCATTAAAGTCATCTTTATTATTCATAACATCATCCTCACTACTCTAAGCCTCATCACTATTAACATGGCCATCTTTCTCATTTATTTCATCATCAGATTCTCTTGATGATCCAACAACACCAAAATCCCCAACTGATTTTGCAACAGAACTTCTTTCAACAGATGCCTCAACTGAAGTTACATCATCAATATGGTGATCAAATAGTTCATCATCATTTTCAGAGTCACTCCCCAAACAATACTCACTATCAACAGACTCTACAACTTCATTGACAACGTTTTCTACATAAAGATGCAATTCTCTACAAGACAAAGCAGCATCAAACCCCACCAAAAGATCACTATCATTGCATACGAGGCTGAGACGACCACAAAAATCACTCTGAAATTTTTTCTTACCAGGACCTATAATCTCATTTGTCATGTAGTAAAGCGAATTAAGTTCATGTGTACCTTGTCCACATAGTCAAGAACAGTTCTTGAACCCCCAGTGTAACTTAAACTGGGATAGCTTTGAAAGACACCTCCATGATGCACCACGACAGTAAGGGAAGTAGAATCCGGGTCTGTGGGCCAAGAAACATCAAATTATTGAACATATAAACATATATATGAGGGACAAGGCCCGCATTTTCTTAAAAAAATAAACAAATATATGTTTCAGGGACTACATTTTGTTGAAAAGATAATCAAATACACTATTTTCAAGGACCACATTTTGTTGAAAAGATACTCAAATACACTATTTCACAAGTAGACAAAAAGTAAACAAATTAAAAACTCACGATATAATGGAGGTGGCAAACCCGAGTGCTTCTTATCTCTTTTCATCACCATTTTTAATTTCTGATAGAAGGGGTTGGGAAGATATCGCCCTTCGATATTTTGTGAAAGGAAATTGGGCGATTCAGTATTGATTTTTGCATGTAAGAATTAGGGCGATTGTGAAGAACAGTTCTTGTCGATTATAGGGTTTGTCTGCTTTGGGAATTTTCCCGCAATTTCATCCCGCGATTTCCTTATTATTACAGGTTTTTGGTTTTTTTTTTCCAATTCTTAAATCCATGTGTAATGACACATGGATAATATGATTTTTTTTTGTCTTTAATCCGCGTGGCGACAGATCTATGGACAGGCTATTCCACATCATCGCCGGTGTTTAATGTGTAGGGCCAAATGGACGCCACGTCAGATTTGCCGGCCAAAAATGTCACCGGAACGTCGTTTTGGATGTATAGTGCAAAAATAATAAAGATAGTGTACCAAATCTAAATTTTTTTTTTATTAAAGGACGAAAGTGCAACTGACCAATAGTTAGTGGACTAATGGTGCAATTTTTCCTAATTAATATTGTGTTTGATCTATTTGAAAATTTAATGTTTATGGAGAATCATTAAACTCTTTTCACTCTAATTCAATGAAATTAATTCTTCTAAGATTGTGTTTAGACCTTCATCGAGAGAAGCATGATACTGACTCAATGATTTGTCTATTTGGTTGAAAATATTTTTTTTATTTATTTAAAAATAATTAATCCATTTTTTTCGGTATGTTTTTTATGTATGGGCACATTTTATTGAGATGCTTGATTTCGAATTTCTGTGGCTTATGTATGTATTATTCTATTTGAAAAGGTCAATATATATGGCTGCTGCAAATATATAATTGCCCATTTTATTTTGCACCTGTTGTGCCTAGAAATTGTATTTGAAATTTTACTGCCTTGTAAATGATTTTAATTTATAGATAGATTGAAGGTCAATATTTTCATATTTTATTTGGTAGTTGTACGATGTATTTTATGCACAAATTCATATGTCATATGACTTTAAATTCACTCTCTGTTTGTTTATGAGACAAGAATCCTTGACCGCAATGGGTTAATTTCCGTCAAGAATACCTATTAGCAGTATCTATTCCTTTATAGAGTTATTGAAGAAAAACAAAATCTTACAGTAATAATGCAAAAGTGAGCACCAATATGCTTATACTTGTCATCCAAATTGTGAACCCTCTAGATGAGACAGAATTTGCTTGTGGAGTTTATATGATTGTCTAATGCCCAGCGAAATTCAAGCTATTTGCTATTGTTAATGAATTTGTTTCCTGTTTATACTCCTCTGCCGAGATTTTTTTTTTTNATACTCCTCTACCGAGATATTTTTTTTTTTTTTTTGTTACACTATGATTAGTTTGTTCCTATATGATATGTATGTAATTCATGAGATGCTGTGGAGTTTATAAATTTAAAGTACTTTTCTGTACGAGAATGTGCTCTTGAGTTGTTCATTAAGATTGTATTAGTGCCAGAAGCACATGCAAAAGTATAATTTTTCACCTGCGACATATGATAAAGATTATCTATCTTCTATAAGACTATATATTTCCTTGATTTAATTGTCTTATATGAGCATCTCTTGTTTGATATGTATTCGATTATTCTTCACATTACTTCTTAAGATTTGAAAGTGGTAACACACGTATATGTCCAGTAGACATTATCCTCTAGCTAAGGATTATTTTCGATGATGAATGAGGAAAATATTATATATCTTATATAGTGAAATCTCTCATACTTCAATTATTATACTTCTGAAGAGTTATAAAATAAAAATTCCAATGAACCAAATGAATGGTATGCAACATGTATAGTTATTTTCTAATTATGTCATGAATTGCAGAGCAAATATCTTGTTGAAGTTTATGCCTATAGATTTGAGTTTCCCTGAAGGATTATATAATTAAATGTATCACTAGTGAATTTGAATACCTTATTGACCTAGATTTGGTTATCCCTGAAGGATTTGTCCTGTTGACCTGTATAATAATTGAATAAAATTATCTAGCAAGTATTCTTGTAAGATTGATCTAGTAGATAATCTCATTGATTTTTGGATAAATTCATGATCTTTTGATTTTAGATCAACTCTGCATATTCAATGAAGTGATGTAACCAGAATGTTATAAAGATTGAATCAATATACAAGTTTTCGTTTTAAATTATTTATGTTTGCTTGGATATTTGATAAGATGCATGCCATTGAATTATATTGTTGATAGCTAAAATAATAAATTCATATGTAGTGCCCGAAGCACATGCTCTTTAACAAAAACATTCCTAGTAGCTACAATAAAAGGCTCACAACCGAAGTTCAATTGCAGTGCCTGAAGCATATAGTGTTCACTTAGAAATGATTATTATACTTCGATGCCCAACTTATATATTTGATAATTGGCATGAGCAGTTGGATCATATTGGGAAATTATTTATGATAATTTCTCCCCAAAATGCATGGAGAATCAAACATTTCCCATCTGCAATTTATTTTTATTTTATTATGCATCATTTTATATCACCACCAATTCGTACCTTTATGGGCCTATGTTACAAGCTAGGTATGATATGATTTTTATACTCCGTCGAATTTTTAATACCTAGAGGCCATTATAGGGGATCAATTTATTATTTGGTACGTTTTTTGCATAATACATGAACATGATTTCACAGCATTAGGGGGAGATATGAACATAAGTTTATCAATGCCGTGAAATATGTGAAATATTAATGTTTTCATTATTTGAAATCATGCAATAAAAATTGAACTTGAAGATCATATTATATTTCTGCCAAGCGAAATCTATAGTAATAATGGAGTGACCAATTTGTATATTTATAAATGTACCACAAACTAAGCAAATTCCCTAGGGAATGATTGACTCCTTGATACTACAAGCATAAGGTGATACAACGAATATGATATATGAAAGTTCGCGGAAAATGCATATTCAAGAATTAACACTCCTTTATAAGAAACTCCTGAAGAGTTGATCCAGTACATCTTGCACGTGCATCAAACCATTATAGTACTGGAAATGCGGAACGGCCAAAATTAGATGTTATGGGAAATGATTATAAATATGACTAGTAATATGAAGTTGCATATATGGTTGAGAGAAAAATATAAATTGAATATCAGTTGTCGACAACATACTTGCCTATGTAATTTCCTTACTATCTCAAATAATGATCCGGATCAAAATAATGAAAGTGCTAGAAGCACTTAGGTTGATTGAGATAGAAAGGAAAATTGAGGCAGAGCTTTCACTCGCTACACGGTATATCCCAGGAGGATAGCATATCCCAAAAGGATAATGAATATTTATATGAAACATGTGATGTGGTGGTGTAAATATAGCGAGATTATGCTCATGGGTTTATGCAGAGACCCAAATATTTATTTAAATAAGTTCTCTCATTATCAATGATTCCGCAAGTTAATATTTATGGCAGCAACATTAACATGACTATTGAGTCATATGTGAAAGTCCTGGATGGACTCGAGTACCCGAGATGAAAGATAATTAAATAATATATAGTTTAATTATTTAAAGTTGTTGGTAAGATGTGGTACAACCAACTAAATTCTTCCTGAAGAAGTAAAGTACGAAATTAAAGGTAGAACCTTGTGTATAATGATAAGATACAAATTAATCATCTCGGTCAAATAAATTATGTGGTGAACACTATGTAAAAGATTAAATAAGTTAGCTCATGCTTATAGACGGAGTTAGAATGAAACTCTTGGTTAAATACCAAAGAGTATTATCTCGACTTGTAGATCGAGCATCTTTTAGAAAGAGTTTTTTTTACCCAACCAATCTATTTGAATCTATTTTTAGAGATGTAATATTATAACACCAATGAGTGTCAAATATTTAGAATTTGACAAAGATCCAAAGAAACAAATGAGGATATTATAGGACCTGAAGTTCCAATGGACTTGAAGTCCACAAATGACCTGAAGTTTATTTACTAAGCGCAATTGTGCTGAACTTTTATCACGCAAACTGCACCAGGCCTGATACTGCATTTGTGATGAATTTGCTAGCAACATTTACTATTTCTCTTCTTAAAGAGATCGTGATAAACTGAGAATATCCCATTATGCGTACATGTATGTTGAGTTATCTTTGGACTTGATATATGATATTGGTGGATAAGGACACCAAGT